GATGATTTGTCCACTGGGTGTGGTAAAAAATAAGGTTATTTCCAAATAAAGCTGTAAAAAGCACTGAAAATAAGAGTTAACTGTCAAAACTTAGGTTCTTATCACAGAACAAAACAGAAACTTACATGATATGCTTATTTGACAGTCAATTCTTCTTTTGTAAAAGAGCAGGAAGTTTTGGCGTCAACACTATAAAACACTCTTCAAAAGGCTGTGGCTCGTTTCCATAGCAACCATTTTGAGTAAAACTCTAGAAATTTAATTTCTCTTCTTGAGTGCAATAGCACACAATTGATCTTTCTTCAACATATTTAAACAAACTTTTTGGTCCATATTGAGGGTACCATACCACCTTAAGCTAGTCAGCACCACATTCAGGGGCCCCACGGACTCCTGATGACATCTACCACCCACCGAGATGGGCTCCTTCCAGGCTCCTCGAATCCATTCACACCTAGGTGGCCTGAAGAGATTGACCAAGAACACTGAATATCCAATGATCCTGGCCGGGACTCGAGTCCTAACCACTTGAGCTGGATATAAAACGCTCTTACCCAGGCCCTTACCAGTAATATTCGATAAATTGCAGGTGAAGGAGGGGCGGCGGGGAAACCCTACGATGGACTAGCGTCCTATCCAGGAGGGAGAAGAAATATTCTTAGTCGCTTCATGCTACTGAAACTTGGAAAAGCTCTGGTTGTATGGACCTCTTGACTCGACGCAGACTTTAACTTACTGATCAGGTTTGGTCTGAAGTTAGGTAGCCACAACCCCACCTCAACTGATGAGCCCCCCTCCTCACCCGACCCACGGCACAAAGACTAGTTTTGTACATGACGTCCTCACTAGATCACTCCCACCTCCTCCTTCTTTATCCGAACCTGCAGGCTCTTGACCCGCGGACCCAGGCTGTCGCGGACCTTCGAAGGCAAACTCAAGAGAAGGTAAACTGTAATGCAAGGACCACTTGTAAAACATCCTCGGAGTGAAGCCGAATCTTGGTTCAGATCAGGATCAGTAGTGTAAAATAAAGCATAAAACCAAAAGAAAGGCTGACCGCACGACTGAAAAGGGTAAATTTAGTTAATGCCCAATATTTCGGTTAGGCAGGGCTAACCTTCAGGGGCTACATTTAGTAGATATGGCCGAGAGAAAACGGTTACAAAATTTTAAATGATACTTAAGAAAATATGAGACATGATTGGCTGACAAAAATAGAGAAAAATGAAACATGTACTAAAGCGGATACGTACATAAAAATATAATATAGCTCTGTCACCTCTTGCTATATCTGGACTATCTCTTCTACCCTAAAATCCCCGCTTTTTCTTCGCCGAGTTTTTCCCTCGTCGTTTCAACTTTCCTTCGCCCTCACGTTCAGACTCACCTTGGGTCGTCTCCGAGCGAAAGAGCAGCGTCTTTTGCGTTTTCTCCCCGCAGATTTTAGAGCAAGAGAGAGACTGCTCGCAGACTAGTAAGTGAGTAAGGTACCGTGTGACACGAAATTTTTTTTGAGGGAGTTAAATTTTGCGATTTTTTTGTTTGCGGGTACTAATTTTTGCGATTGTGAACGTCTGGTTTTTCGAGCAGGGCGAGTGTCAATTTTTGCGATTTTCAGAAAGTCGCGTTCCTTTGAAATACAACATTTTCAGCGTTTTTTTTTTTTTAAATTACACTACATGGTAACTCGCCACTTTCTAAAATTACGGCTGATGGCACCTTCAGACGATCATTTTCTGAAACTTTCTAGCCGCTATTGTACAGGCACGGACAGCTGGAAAATTTCATCGTTTTATTTAAAGAGGCGTTTCAAATAAAGAGCACCAACAAGATTCTACATGCGAGGTTGGCCAGTGGAGTAAACTTTTGCGGAGAAAATTTTTGCGGGAACTTAGTTAACCGCAAAAATCGCTAAAATTAGAACCCGCAAAAATTTAGTGACACACGGTAAGAAATAAGTAAATTAACTGTGCCAAATTATCTAGAGTACACATGTTACTAGATCTGCCACAAGTCGACCTTTGCTTATTCATCTCCCTCGACCAAAGCGAGAGAGTAATATTCGAGCGACGAAAGTCGCGAAATGTCGAAACCAGCAAGCCAGGTGAGAATTATTGGAAAGGACTTTTAGAAAGTCTAATATGTAACAAATGACGCATATCAGGAAGGGTTTTATGTTTCTGCGTGTAAATATTATAGCCTCATTCCAAACTCGTGTGTTCTTCCCCGCATCCCCGAATATCTTCGCAACTCGTTACCCCGGCATCACGCTCCATGTTCCGAAATTTCATCCGGATTAGCCTGCCTTGTAGGCGCAAACGGAAAAGGGGTAAGGATCCTCTCTTTCACGCCCTCTCCTTTCATCCCCTCCCCGTCTCTTCCCCGATTTTCGCCTTACTCCGGATAAAATAAATAAATGACACATGCAGTCATGCGCCACGCCTTCTCAGTTTGAAGGCCCGATCTAACCTAATTCATATTGATACACAATGATAGGGGAAGTTGTGCGCGCTAAAAAGATTGGCCCGACGGTCCTATTTTTAATCCACTTGATTTAATTAAATAGACCAAAGGTATTGGACAAGGGTGGGCAAATTGTTATGTGCAAATTGTAAGTCTCTGAGAGAGCAAGGCAGCGTTTTCGTTGCAGAGAGGGACGAGAGGGTCATAGAACCAGGAACTATTCTCCCCTCGTCAACCGCCTGCTTTTTCGATCGTCTTCAGGCTAAATTCTGTCATACCTGACCATTCCTGTCTAGCAGTTTCTTCTGGAAGTTTCTCGGCGTTTTCAAAAATATTACATTGAGTAGCAATACAATACATTGAGTAGTGGCTATTTTTATGTCGGCTTTTGTCTCAATGTCCTCTGTTCTCAAAAACCGCCATTGACAGTATTGTCGTAGGTGACGAAAAATGTGCACGCCGTTGTCTTTTGACTTCAGCTCTCTGCTGTCAAAAAGACCGGCAGCAAGCCGAGAGTAATCCGATTTTTTGTGTGACGTAGTTCCGGTAATTTAACCCGCCTTGTTTAAAAAGGACGCTATTGTGTGGTGTTGAATTTCAGAGTGTTTCGAACTGCGTGTAAGAAGCCGTGCAAAAAGCCTTGCGAGTACTTGGCGTTTTAGTATCCTCGAACTAATTTTTGGTTTACATAACTGTGAGAATCATGAAAGTCTGGCTTTTCTTGGTTCTTGTGTTGATCGTGCTTTCGTGCGAAGCAGGAAAGAAGAAGAAGAAGAAGACATCTTCATCTAATAACCTTAAAAATCTGTTTTTACGTCGACGACCAACAGCTAGACCGACAACTGAACCGACAAAGCCTCCCCCAGTGCAAGTGAAGAAGGTTAGCTTTTACTACTTGTCTTTTGAATAGTTATTTTGTTGATGTGAAGTTATATGAAATAATTCATATATGAACTGCGGTTGTAGATGACAGTGAAGAATGATCATCGCAGTTAATTTNCACATTGGGAGCGAGGTTCAGGCTTCTTCTTTCCAATTGCTTAAATTGGGAAATTAACTGCGATGATCATTCTTCACTGTCAGTTATTTTGTTGTTACTCTAAGCTTAGTGTCAAGACAATCAAAGCAAAGTTCGTACGTATACGGGTCCGAGCTGAACCCTGTACGACATTGACTATTCGATGATGATATATCAGAAACATGCAGTCGTGATTTGATATCAAGACTTGATTGTGTGTGTTTTTTGGAGTGCACTTCTTTATGAGTGGTGATTTATAAACATACGGTAGTCTTTCTGGTGCCTGAATGATGATCAAGTACAACGAAAACAACAAATTGACCCCCTTGTCATTGCCTAAGGTATGAAGGGTTTTATTTGCTTTCTAATAGGTGACGTCACCCGTTTTTCTGGTTATCGAACGTTCTCTGTATTAGATTACAGTATTACAATTGATCAAACAGGATGTGACGAAATCAAAAGTGCAATCGGAAAAATTTTAAATTTTCAAGTCATTATTCCCTCTCTTTAGTGTCACTGCTTAAAATTGGTGCTTTTGTCTTCCTTCTTATTACAAGACAAAAGGAAGTTTATATTAGCAAGACCCCAGCCATACAGGGCCATTCCATTTAATATCAGTACCCCTCAGAAAAAAATGCCAGGTAACCTTGTGACTGTCTAGGAATTTTAGATCTCCCCAACACTGACCCTCAGAAAATCTCAAGTGGATCCTCCTGACCTTCGCAAACTTTCAACTTATTCCTCATACCACTCAGAAAAATATGTCGTCTATGGACCGTGACCTTAAGAAATGTTGACTTTCCCTTTTACCCTGTCAGAAAATTTTGTCAACATGGAAGGGTNTGGATAAAAAATGGAATGGCCCACAAACAAAAACTCAAAGAATCGGTCAGAATTGAAAATTATTGCCCGGTCAAATAAAGAGTTCTCATGAACTAATATTATAAATCAAGTGATGTTTTGAAATAAATATATTGTCCTTGAAGAAACTTCTATGTCAGATAATTTAAACCTGTGTGACTTGCAACAATAATAAAAGGGTGACGGAAGAGCTAAATATTCTTCATTTGCACTATTATGATCTTTGGAGGAATTATCCTCCATGTCATCTAAAAATTCAATTAATCAATCAATCAATCATTAAAAATTTATCAATCAATGAACAAATTTAAATCTATCAATCGCTAAATTAAGAAGCAATCCATTGAGAGCTGCCACCAAGACTGTAAGCATCATGCTTGACTGTCAGTTGATACCCTCTATCAATACCCTTGATTGAAATCCCAATCAATACTCAGTTGACACTCGATGGACACTCTATCAACATCTCAGTCGGCAGTCTGTGGACGGTTGTCTAATTTTAGATCGGTCAACACTCGGCCAACTATCGACCAACTGTTGATCAAGTGAAGATCGAGTGTCCACCCAGTACCGGTCGGGATGTCAATCGAGTACCAATTAAGATGTTGATTGAGGGTGTCAATTGAAGGTATCAATTGACACTTGATTGTGTGAACAGGTGAACACTGGTCTGAGGCAAGCTGAAATTGTTAATGAAAGTATCTGTGTGCTAATTTTAATTAGTTTTTGGTTAGCTACATCCCTGAGATGGCACTTGAAGGATGTAGTACTCCAACTGACATATGATAGTGTAATAATTATATCAATATTGTTGTTATATCCATTTGTTTATGTCAGTTCATCAATGCGTTGTCAGTTTCATCTGCTGTAATTTGTAGGTTAATCTGAAGAACATAGACTTCACAAGCATCAACACAACAGATCAATTTTACGAAGTCTTTAACTTGCCGCGCCTTAAGCAGCATGGTCATGGTTAGTAGACATCTAGTGTGTGTAATATCTGGACCTCAGCTGATCAAGGGTGGGTTGGTTAGTCTCCCATATGAATGTGACACAGGGCTGTTTGTAGGCAATTTTTTTTAAAAAAGTGCTAGAATCTGGTTGTGTCAGGATGTGGTTCAAATTCATTTTCAATCTTGAGAGTTTTAACCAATGGACTTCAATAAGAGACTACTTTTCAATGGTAAGTGGTCATTAGTTCATGAGTAAGAGGCTTATTTTGATACAACAAAATACAGTGGAATCCCGATTTTTTGAACCTCCGAGGGAAATGAAAATTGGTTTGAAAAATCATAGAGTTTGAGAAAACGGGCGTAAAATTACAGTGTTCAACTGAGGAGGGGGAACAACTTTTGGTTTGAGTTAACAGGAGGTTCAAAAATATGGCACCCCTTTCCTAGAATTACTTGTGATGTCAATTGTATGTGGAATTCAGTTTATTTATGAAATAGTTTATATTACTAGTGCATTTTCCTTAGCTTTTTTAACATGTATGTATAGGGTTTAAAAATGTCAAGCCAAGACTAGCTTAACAATAGCAGAGAAAACTAATATTTAATTTGTTGTCACGAGAGAAATGTAAATTTTCAATTGGTTAATTTATCTTGGATCAGTGCATCATTTGTCAAATTTACGGCTGTTTAGGACTAATAAAATGTTATTAAATTACAAAATTTATTACGTTATTTGGGTAACTTTTATGTGTCCATGTACAATAATCATAGAAGAGCAGAGTTGGAGCTAAATACTATATTAAATTCAACTGATTTTATATTTTATTCACAGGATCTGGTGGTGTTGGAAGTGACCATTCAACTGCAAGTAAGTACTTATTGTAAGTAAGTAAGTATAGTTACAACTCCCATACATTTTTTGCAAATGCCGTTGAACCTATATTAAGTGGCATTGTATTAAGCGGTCACCCTCTATTAAGTGGTCAGTCTTCAAAGTCCTAAAAATTACTTCCCTTAATTAATTAATGTAATTTTGACCTCTATTAAGCAGCAGCAGTCACCATTTGCAAAGTCCCAGTGGGACTTTTCCTATTGTCTTGACCTGTATTAAACAGTCACACAGTGTCAATTACTTGTTCATACAGTTTCAAATAATGTAACACACCAGGTGCAACAAATGATTTAATTCCTTGTTTATTTTTGCATATCATTAAAACAGCAGAAATGATTGTTAACTTTCTAAATAAATTTGAGGTCAAATGTCTTCTCAGCACTGATTGTATTTGAACTGTTTTTCTTGCAACCTGTATTAGGTGGTCACTTAGCCATTCCCCGAGGGTGACCGCTTAATTTAGGTTCAAGTGTGTATGATATTTATACACTGTAGACATGATGTCCATCAATGCACCATCAGTTCAGATCAGGACTCACAGGAAGTTATGTTTAATAATGATTGCATAATTGTTTTCTAGTTCAAAATGTAGACACGTTTGTCAACTCCCAATGCAATTGTAATAATAATACAGAATGTGGAAGATAAACTGGAGTCCTGAACAAATTAAAAAAAAAGTTGTTCTATGATAATACAATATGATTGCATAATGAAATTTATATAATGCAAATTTCATTTGAATGCTCAAAATATTCTTTACCAAATGTTTAACAAAAAAATATAAACCAAAAAACAAAAAACCTGTTCCCCATTACTATTATGCCACAAAAAATACATTTATGTCCCACGAACAACTGTAGAAATTATAATTTGAAAACACCTTGTCAGAAAGCCCTCGCTACAAGGTGTGGTTCGTAATAACTATATAAAAATGTCAGAGAAGTAGTGCAAGCTCTGCAGTAATGGATGCAAGCGAAGAGAATTTATGTTTTGATAATCCAAATATTTAATATGTATTGAGTAAATGCCTAATTAAGAATGTATCAAAAAAAGTATAGCTAATTGTGGGTTAAAATGTGTTGTAGCTTTAGAATTCTTTCCATGTTAGTTGAAAGCTGCATTATTACTCAATAATATTATTTATTTTCTATCATTAGTGCAGGATTATTCAGAATGGGGTTGCAAATTCCGTCCAACACTGGTTCATCTTCCTGCTCCACCATATGGTAGAGGATTTATTTTTCCATCATGTGCAACAGTGAATCGCTGTTCAGGTTGCTGTGGTGTAAGTAACCTTGAATGCAAACCAGTGGGTGTAACCAAGGTTCAAGTGGATTACTACCATTTTCAACCCAATGGTGTGTTTTTCATTAATTGCTCTCAGTAGTTAAAATTTGTTTCTGTTTGAAATCCCATTGTTACATCATTTGCCAGACTGATAACAATGTATTGTTTTGTTTGTTTCATATTAAATAAATATAAATATTACCGGTACAAAATTGATGGATATCTTGTCTAGATCTTTACAAGATCTTGCAGACGTAAGAAATAAATTATTATTACTTTCCTGTTCAAAACAGTGCAAGCCAGTGCCAAGCAAGTATTTACATGTATATACAGTAGTGCCAAAACTATTATCAGATTTGAGAAATATGCATGGAAATATGAATCTGATCACTTTAGGTGTCTGTTTCTTAGCATACATTACTATAAATAATTATACTAAATCATGCATGATAAAGTATGATGCAAAAAGTATCATCTTTCATCTATCATAATTAAAGTAAGTAACCTCCTATCCAGTCATCAGTTACAGTATACTGGAATCAAACTTTCTAGATCCTTATTTGTTTTGTATTATCTCTGGTATGGTTCACATGTTGAATGTTTGCTTTTAGGTTCATATACAGAAACGTCAAGACTGGTGGATGAACACCTTGGTTGTGCTTGTCAATGTTCTCAGACTGCTGACTCTTGTTTGAAGACACAATTCTTGAATCCAGGTCTATGCCAGTGTGAATGTTTACCACAAAATCAAGAAGACGCGTTGGACTGTCCGCAAAAAGGAAATTTTCAGGTAGGTTGCAAATGACTTCCTGCATCATTGGGCCAAGGTATCATGGCCCAACCACTGCTGAAAACATTTAAATTCTATCATGATACTTTTTATCAATTAAATATTAACAGTATGAAAACAAGATTGATCATCACAGTTATACACACAACTTTAAAAGCAGTTGTGAAATTAAAGCCTGGATTTTTTTCAGGCTTTAACTGCACAACTGCTTAAGTTGTGTACATAACTGCGATGATCAATCATGTCTTCATATCTTTCTCTGCAGTTCAAATAATGATATTTCATATCTTCACTTGTAAATATTGACAAAATGACAATGTGATTCTTTTGCTCCACAGTATGATCCAAAAACTTGCAGTTGTGTTTGTAAAACAGTGCGCCACTGTGATCATGATCCAAATTTACGATGGAGTGATAAGGATTGTGCCTGTGTATGCAAGAAGGAGAAATGCCCATCGAGGCAATTTTTGGATAAGAACACCTGCCAATGTGTCTCTGAAGTATTGGGCCAGCGGCAATAAACCATGTCCCTCTATCATGTTCCCTTTACCAGAGAACCAAATGAACATTTCAGATAGCTCTTTATTGTCACACTCTCATTTCCACCTAACATGTACAGGCTACAGGTAGGGCTAGCACTGTCCAAGACTCAATCTAAGACATTCTACACAGAGGACTTAAAAACCAAAATGATCTGTAAGCATAGTGTCTTTCACTGGTTACTTATCTACTTAACGTCACAACAGATTAACTTCCAGTTGGAGATGCCATATTCAGATATCTGAGTGTATAATGCTGCCATCAGAATTAAATTTTTTGAACTCCTGTCAGTGACAGACATGTTTACCCAGTTTCAGTTTTTTGACTTTTCAGTGATCAGGTTTTCTGTTTATATTTTTGTCTTTACAGTTTTGACCTCTTGTAATCAAACAAGTAAATTTACAAAACATTTAGCTGAATGGAAGACACTTCATTTGTTCAAGAGAGATTTAATTAGTTAAAACCTTGGTCAAAAAAATATCTTTTTAAACTAGCCTTTTAACATACATTTTCTTTTAATCATAACTTACATTATTTTTTTAAATATGGGCTTTTTTAATCTTTAAATTTTTTACTCATTTTTACTCATTTTTATTGTGAAGTGCCTAAGGTATGTTATCAGTGGAGTAGTGCTATAGAAATGTACCGGTAATTTTGTTTAACCCTTCAATCAACCATTTGAAATTTCGCAGCAGATTTGTGTTCTTGTGATTTTTAAACTCATTTATTATTAACTACTTACTAATCGAGAGTGAGGTCTTAATGGGAAAATCTAAAACTGAGACCTTGCCATATTGACTGATGAGCAACAGCAAGGTCAATACTGCAAGGCCAAGGTTTGAGATTTGCCCGTAAAGACCAAACGCCAGAGGTTAATCAGTTGTTTCTATATGGCTTTTTGCTTTGCATTTGTGGGCCTGTAATTGGCCCATGGGCATTACAGGAGAATAATGCCCTGGAATTTGCCAATCAGAGCTTGCGTTACATTGGCTGCAAACACAAGCCATATATATTATTAATTAACGTTAATAATTAGTCAACTTGATAAAATAAACAAAATCACTTGAGACGATGTATCATCAATCATCACAGGCATTTCTGAACCCCTCAAATAATTTCTGCCAGATGTAGGTACTTTGTATTTTCAACTCTTTTACTTGTTTTTGGTTTGTTACCCATATACAGAGTGTACTTAAAATTTATCGGTTTTGATATCTTAACTAATGTTGTGACTCAACACTGCTGTACAAACATTGTGGAAAAAAAATGAAATACTTAATTTTTATTTTAATTTGTTATTAAATGTTTATTAGCAACTCATTAAATAATATGTCAATAATTATTTTATAATATATATTTTTTAAAATGGGCCTCACTACTAATTTTTTACTGTTTTTAAACCAGAGAAAATCAGTTTTACACAGCTTTTCAATATGATGATAGCAGAGTATGGTACTTTTCCTCTAAAGTATGCAATGGTATTGCTGCGTTCATTGTTTATTTAGTTCATAGTAAAGATGCAAAATGGTAATTCAAATTTGATTTTCCTGTTTGCCATTATGTTTGTTCATGGGTATAAAGCTTCATTATGGAAAAATGTTCTAGATCAGGTTGTTATCATGGAATGATAGTAGCTTTGGAATGATTATATTAATTAAAAGGAATTTTGTAGACTTTCATGTTGCATTGTCTCTCTTTTATACATTTTAAGGGACATCGAACACTCGAAATTAACTACATTTTTTTCAGGGTTTTATAATTTGCTTTAGAGACACCCCTTGGGCTACCTCATTGCATGGTATTTTCATGACACATTGTGAATTTTCCGATTGAAAAAAAGCATGTCATTAAAATGACGTGAACAATAAGTGTGTCAAACGTAACATGATGTGAAAATTAGGTGACTCACACCGTGTTACTGTTGACATCCAGCCCTGCTGTTGCATTTATGTTAATTTTGACGTACTTGTACCTTTGAGAAAGTAACACTGCCAAGGAAAGAAATTGTGCTGCTCAAAACTGCGAAGTTCAAGTGATTCAAAATATAACATTTTCACAAAATTGTGGAATTTGTTGTAAAATCGCAAAATAAACATGTTGCAAAAATTTCATGTAATGTAGTTCCCCATCAGACTGACAAATTCCTGGCTGAAAAAAATCATTTCACCTTGTTGAAGTTGTTTATACAACCAGAAGACATTGATTGAGGTTACCTTTTTTACTGCTTCACAAGCTTGTCTTAATTTAGCAAACTTGTCTTCTCAAACTCATTAATAATTCATTAAGTTTAAACAAAGGAAATCCTGACCATGATGGTGTTTGGATATCTGATCTTAATTGGGATAGATTTTAACCATTTTATTTCTCAATTTCTCCCTAATTTTAGTGTCGATTGAGAAGATATATCAAATACTCAAGACAGTGTGTTTGACCACATTTCCAAACACCTTGAAGTTCGTCAAAAATACTCTGCTGTGCGTCGTATTTTCAACTCTCTTCTTGGTGTTAAGAAATGTGGTCAAACACAGTCTTTTGTGTTTGATATATTACTTGTAACACAGAAAATAAATGTCCCTTGTTGCAATAGATTTCCTTGCGAGAAAAGTCCTGGTAATATATTGTGTGTAGTAATTCTTGATTAGCCATTTAAGGTTTGGTGTGAGTATTGTCAAGTATCTCAACCTTCTTGTTTTACATTTTATCAGGAAATTTCATAGATCCAGGAGGCAACTCAAATTAGCCAATTTAATACAGTATTAGCCTGTGTCGCAGATGGAAATTTACCCACAGTAGGTTGCATCTGCGACGCAGGCTAGAAAGTATGTGACTCTAGGTAATACTTTCATGGGGCTCCAAGGGATGGGATGAGGTCAGGTATTTTTGTTGACTTTTCCTCTCAAATTATTTAGGGCAGTTACCTTTGAAACAACAACACGAGGTTTTAGCTTTAAATAGCTATCTACAATGACTAGGCGTAGTGGATCCATAAACTGATAATCTCAATCAATCGATTGTAGAATTATGTCAGATGATTATTAATAATAAGTATTCAATTGATATCAATTGCCGATAACAATTGATGAAGTAAACAGTTGCGAGTTTGATTATTATCAATTGATTCATGGATTGTTATCGCAAATTATTTTTGTCCTTTTTTTGTCCTGATAAAATAATTGACAAAATTTGTCTGTAATGGTTTTATCGAGTCAATTCATCTTCATAGCTTGCGTATCTTTTACAATCATCAACAAAATAAGAACAGAAACAACATTTTGGACTTAACATCTTTCTTTGAAATGACAGCTTCTGCTCGACCAAGTTCAGCACCTTTTTGTAGCAATCTGAAGGGCTATAGTATCAGTGTGGTTACAAAATTGAGCTAGATTCTGAGTTAGGAAAATTTGCCAGTGAAGATATTCAGGACACAGTTGATAGTGTGGGGATGAGCAGATATATTATTTGTTAAATGATATATATATATATTAATAGTTATTGTCTATTTTTTATTGATGGATAATTCATATTCCTAAAGACAGTAGGTTATCAATTGTTAGCAATTTTTTTCAATGAAGAGCAATTGATAGGAAACATTTCTGTGAATTCGATTGTTATCGATTGCAGATATCAATCAATAGCAATCGGCAATTGATATCAACTGAATCGATTGATTTCTGACATTGATTTTTATCAACTGACTACACCTGGATTATGAGTATAAAAATGTTCCTTAATTATTATCAACGCTTAAAATTTGGAGCCAATCGCAATGTTCAACACTACATCCTGACTACTCTTTGCCACATGGTTCATTATAATTTATTAGCATTTTTCTCACAATTATTCTCAAGACTCAATTCAGTGACTGGTAAGCGTGCTATGGCTGTTACAAATCTGAGTTATAAAATTTATCCAAAACACATCATTTGCTTAATATGTTATAATTTACACTATTTCACTTCGAAAAATTTTACTATTGTTTGGTCATAAATCCAGTGTCACTCAAAAACATTTCTTGTGATTGAGAAAAACATACTAAGGTGAGCCCCTCACCTCTTAAGAAGCTTTCTATCAATTTGCCACACACACATATTAGGGGCTGTCTGGTAGCATTTGCCAATTTTTAAGACTAGACTAAAGAAAGGGTTGGATTATACAGACTTCCTGTTCTATTAAAAAATAAATACAATATATCAATCTTACTGGTCAAATCTATTATTGATTTACAAAGTAGCTTCTGAAGTAGCGTGAACTTGCCTCTAACAATATGAATATGAATACAGCTCAAGCTCTGTACATCATAAAAAGTAAGAGAATCTAAGACCGCAGAAAATCCCTCTAACTGACTTTCTTTCAACAAACTTTAGTACATACAAAACGCAATAAATACCACATAACACTCTTTACGAATGGATAAGTTTTTTTTACATTATGTGTGCCTGTGAATGTTGTGTTTTTAAGTACACTATTTTTATAAGCTGTCTAATCACCCATGGCTTGCTCAAACCAGCAGGATAAACCCCCTTGCGGTTTTGAGTGTTGTAGATCTGTTTCTCCTCCTGGAACAATGTTTATCATTAATGATGTATCTTTTTGTACCATCTTCTCGTCATAAGAGAAGTGTCCATTTCATTTGACTTTTTGGCATACTTCTTGTCATAGCAAAGTTACATTCTTATTGATGACACCCCTTCTTGGCAGGCAGCATTTCACTAATACTGTCATGCAGGCTGAATGCCTTTGTAGTGCCATCTGACTTTTCACCCAGTGATCTGTACCGTTTAACCCTGATGTGTTTGCAATGAGATCTTGTCAAAAAAATCCTTGCCCAACAGAAACAGTGACTCTCCATTCCCTTGATCCTCAATCATCCTCTTGGCTTGTTTGGTTTGTGCACAGTGGGCAAACTAAGAAATGATGTGTATTGAATGCACTGGAGAATGCTCTTTCAAGGACAAGGTTGATTTTGCGTGATTAGAATTTGAACTGTCCACAAGTCTGAAAGCCTCCAAGAATTCATTGAAGTCAATGAGACCATCTTTGTCCATGTCTATGCTTTTTGCTAAGTCCTCTATGGAGTCCAAGGGGATATTTGAGTTAGTGTGCTCATTCAGAAGACGACATGACTCCTCAAATTCTCCCATTGAAATAAAACCTGATGAAGCATGAAACAAAATCCAATATTAAATAATGTACATTCCAACAGTCTCATTCATGTAGTGAATAATTATCTAATGAAGAAAGTCATGAAAACTGTATGCTGTTTAGGGGTGGTGAATGATTGAAGGTGTTTGTTTCATACTTTTTGGCACTGATGCATGAGAAAGTGTTGAGTCTCGAGTTCATGCTATTAGAGAGCTTAACCCTTTAAGCCCCAGAGAAAAACCTTATTTTTCTAAAGTGATAACAGTATATCAAAAGACCACAAGTAATATACCAGCTGAAAGGTATTGTTTGGGGTATGTTGAATTGACGTAGGGTGGCATAGCCAATTAGAACGTTCATTTGTCAGCCACAGGGTTATGCTCAAGCACTTTTCTTATACCTTCACTATTAATTAGCTTCAATGCAGTTTTCAATCTACATAGATCTATGTCTTAAAAGTTCTAATTTCAGAGTAGTCACTTAGTGTTCCAAAACAAGTTTGAACAAAATACTTTATAGCACACCAGAATTGTCTTTGTCCATTAAGCGGAATATTGTTTCCAAGTTGGACCTATGCCTGTAAAGGGTCTCTGTGATGCTTGGGCCATTCTAGAAAAACAACAACAACAAATAATAATAATAATAATAATAATAATAATAATAATAATAATAATAATAATAACAATAATAATAATAACAATAATAACAATAATGACAATAATGACAATAATGACAATAATGACAATAATGACAACAATAATAATAATAATAATAATAATAATAATAAAGGAATGTGTATAATGTTTGGATCATGTTTACCGTAGGTAGTGTCGGTCAACGATATTGACTGATATATAGACCGACACTTAGTTAATATGTCAGCCAAGTATGGGGCTTGTATCGGCCAAGAATCGACCGACACACAGCTGTCGATACATCGGCTGATAAGTGTGTCAGTCGAGTGTCCATCAAACAACGGCAGACATATTGACCAATACTCAACGGATAGTCGATCGACATTTGACTGATACTCATCCGATACTCGACCGACTGTCAGCCAATACATTGGTCGTGTATTGGCCAAGAGGCGACTGATACTCAGCTGATGTATCAACCAAGTGTTGGTCGACATTACCTACAGTGAACATGATCTTAATGTTTCATAACTAATCAGGTAAAGCAGTATTTCAGAAACCATGATATGATCCAACTCTGTGAGCCCAGTTTGACATTTNAATAAAGGAACGTGTATAATGTTTGGATCATGTTTACCGTAGGTAGTGTTGGTCAACGATATTGACTGATATATAGACTGACACTTGGCTAATATGTCAGCCAAGTATGGGGCTTGTATCGGCCAAGTATTGACCGATACACAGCTGTCAATACATTGGCTGATAAGTGTGTCAGTTGAGTGTCCATCAAGCAATGGCAGACATATCAACCAATACTCAACGGATAGTCGATCCACATTTGACTGATACTCATCCGATACTCGACCGACTGTCAGCCAATACATCGGTCGTGTATTGGCCGAGAGGCGACTGATACTCAGCTGATGTATCAACCAAGTGTTGGTCGACATTACCTACAGTGAACAGGATCTTAATGTTTCACAACTAATCAGGTAAAGCAGTATTTCAGAAACCATGATATGATCCAACTCTGTGAGCCCAGTTTGACATTTTGACAGCTTTGCAGAATAAGCAGGTTAAAGATCTCATAATTCTTCAAGGTGATACCTTGTGCAGCCCTGTCTCAATGACGTACTGATCAAGACAGGAGCAGTAGTCAATTCTTCCATCTGGTAGAACATGAGCAAGCTGGTGTCTTAACATGTTCCATGGAACATCCAACTTTAACACACTCTCTATAGCACTTGACCACTGACTGGCGGTCACATATCCTGAAAGTAATATGCATGGATCTTAAATTATTCAAAACTATTTTTCATATTAATTTTGTGTGTTAAGTGTCTTTAATTTTCTTATTGAGCAAAAACCTTCCCTAGGTAAGAATTTTAAAATGTAAGCATGCAGCTTCTGGTCTGAAGCCTTTAAAAACCAAAATGTAAAAGTGCAAGATGAAAAATATACAGCAAAAGAAACTGTGAAAGTAATTATGTGTGCATGGGTTGAAAGCTTATGTTTTAAAATTCCTACCTAGAAAGATTTGTACTCAAGATGATTTGTAATCTTGTTTACTCCTCTATTTGTTCACAAGTCTCATTGCAGTTTGGAGATCACAGGATGCATTAAAATGCAAACAACACGTTACATTGTGACTACTCTGTTCTTTGCAAATTGACCACTGGCATTTTAAAAGTTTTTAAATTAAAATAGCTACTAATCAAAATGACCACAAATCTGTTGTGTTTGCAACGTTCAGCTTGATTACATTGATAATTAGTTGGAAAACTATTGTTAACCTCGATGACTTTTATTCATTAAATTTGTAGAACATTTTGTCAGGCAGCCTTGGTTAGAGTTAGAGTGGTTGCACTGTAAAAATAGTATACATGCATTGGCACTGAAAGTGCCAAATAAAATATTTATCACCCGACGTTTTGCCATCTCAAAAATCAGAATATGAACTGTGCTCTTAATCTATGTTGAGCTCAGTTCAACTTCACTGAGTGTTTAATTTTAGTGTTTTTTACCCGTGTTTTCTTTGTCTCTTTCCAAAAATGCTGCCATTAATGCGCTCTTGTTAGCATATAATCTTTCCTTCAACTCTCTTATTGCAGACTCCTCTACAATGCCAACCCTACAAACAAAATTATGACATCGATCAGTTAAGAATGTTGATAAATTAGCATCACTGGAAAATATAAGTCTGACCTTTGTTTAAGTGTGAGATGCTTCTTTGCCTTGGAAGTTTGATATTGAACAAAGTAGGGTTTCATATCAGGACCTATCTTCATGTAAGCACCTCTGTTGCTTCCCTGCTCATAATAATTTGATGCTGAAAATATTGTGATGACCTGTTGGAAAAGCAGAAATGAAATATTGATTAATTTAACATTTTATTAACAGCAATCAAGATTATGGATATATTGATTTGTTCAAAAGATTTAGGATCACTAAATGGTACGTGATCACAGAATTTCAAACAAAGACCTAAACTGCTTAGTAATAATATTAAAAAAGTATTTGTCTCTTAAGTTATTAATCTCTGCGGTCATTTTTAATCACTGAACACTCCAGGCATTTTAGGCATGTGATGTACAATGCTGTAACATAGCCCACGAGAGGGCAGTAAGTTTGTCCAATACCTTTTCACCATGCATGTATTCATATCCTTCGTATTTGCATTCATGAGAACGTACAAGTAGTTCCAAATCGTGTTTTCTAAGGATGCGTTCAGTAATGTCTGGACCAAAGTAGCAGCCTCCTCCTCTGAACGTGTTTGGTTTACAGCCAGGAACTGGCTTGGGGTCGCTCCATAACAGATCCAAAATCTTCAATGAAAATAGCACTCTGTCAGAATCTTCCACACACAGGGTACAGGTCCTCTCAGAAAATAGTTTAAAAGACTTAACACCTTCATAAATAAATACAAGATGACAGTTAACTCCTTTTAAACTTATGCAATCTTGAACCATTACTTTAATTTAATCTTTTGACTAGAAATTTATGGAAAACGGACAGTCATTTACAAGATTGAAATGAACAGCAATGTTATTTCTAG